AGATGTGTGTATTTGTGTAGGTGATTGTATATGTATGTGTATGTATATATGTATACGTATATATATGTACATGTATGTATGAGTATGTGTACATGTATATATAACATAAATAATTGCGTAACTAGCGTCAAACATTGTTATTTACTTAGCTAAACGAACTAGAGGGTTCAGTTCCTGAACCAATTACGTGTCTCTGTAATCCTTTACACCACCGCCCACGGGATGGGTATGGGGTGCATAATAAATAAAGAAATTGAATTGAAGACCATTGTGAACTGCTATTGAAGACCGTAGCTACTGAACAATAGTAGCATCAACAATAACAACAATAGTAACAGAAACACTGACAGGAACAGGGGCAACAGTTGTGGCATCAACAGTAGCAGAAAGAGTAACAGCGACAGGAACAGTATCAAGAGTAACAGTGACAACAACAGTAGCAGGAACAGTAGCAGCAGCAGTCACAGTGCGAAGACGAAGAGGAGGCGGCCGTGGGAGAGAATCAGTAATAGCAAGAGTCCGTCTTGGATACAAATATCCATGGAGATACGGAACGGAAACAACAGCTGAGCTGCGGAGTTGCAGAGTCAGTGGTGAGAGTGATGGACACCGCCTTGACCACTACCTGAGAGAATGTGAACACCTGAGAGACATTAGAAATATGTGTCGAATTATGAACCTCACATTGTTTGAGTTAGGAAAATATCATTTGTCAAATATAAATACTGTTGTAAAATGATTTCCCCGTTTTGCACCCACAGGATAACGTAAGATTTTAAGGGTTGGCAAATGTTAATCTTCTTGTTTGAGAAGCTATTCACTTGAGACAGTTAAGCAAGTCCCAGCTGTGTCTGGGTTCCAGTGATAGGATGAACAATCCAGCGGGTTTTCTTCCTATTGGAGAGTGTTGTACATGCTGCTATGGCGGTGTCCACTCACAGGATGAGTGGCGCTGCCCAAAACTGTCACTATGGCGGTGTGTCCACTCACAGGATGAGTGACGCTGCCCAATACTGTCACTATGGCTATGTGTCCACTCACAGGATGAGTGACGCTGCCCAATACTGTCACTATGGCGGTGTGTCCACTCACAGGATGAGTGACGCTGCCCAATACTGTCACTATGGCGGTGTGTCCACTCACAGGATGAGTGGCGCTGCCCAATACTGTCACTATGGCGCTGTGTCCACTCACAGGATGAGTGGCGCTGCCCAATACTGTCACTATGGCGGTGTGTCCACTCACAGGATGAGTGACGCTGCCCAATACTGTCACTATGGCTATGTGTCCACTCACAGGATGAGTGGCGCTGCCCAATAAACTCGCCCTCGGAGCAAAACTTATAATTAATTACAACGCGCCAATCATGTTACAGAATGCAGCACCGGTTCAAACTATCCCTGTGTGTGGAAGTTTCCCAAGGTGTGTTAGGGGGGGGGGGGTCATGGGTGTGTGGTTGAGGCTCGTCACCCACACTAACAAAGTTATGATGTGGTTGCCGGAGCTGGTTGGGGGGGAGTGGGAGGGATAAGGAACTCGGCCACTGTGTTCCTTAACGGACGCTGAAGATGTGATGATGGGTTGACTTTATTTATTATGCAGGGAATGGGAAGGGTGTGAGGAAGTGGGAATCATACCCATCCTGTGGGTGGCAGTGGACCCCATACCCATTTTTTTTTTGTTATTTTTTCTACCACAGACGTGGCCACACATTTACAATGCTAACCAGCATATATACATTTTCTTCTGTCCTCCATGGACAGGGTTAGAGAAGTGTTAAACATATAGTTCAAGGGTTTATTGAACACTCAACCACAGAAGGTGATTCGGTGCTTTTAAAATGCTAAGCTAACCTACATACGTAAATACATAGATACACAGATTTACGTATGCCCTACATAAAGTGTTCGAAGTGTCATTAATGTGCATTTACTAAGGTGAAATGCAATTCTGATCAGCTTCCATATGTACTTTTTACACATACATATGCATACACACACATATATACGTACATATACATGCATATATACACACACATGCATTAACATACACTTGTCTCTTTTACTCTGACTGGGTGAGATAGCTGACAGAGAAACTAGTGTGCAATTAAGCACTTAATCACTGAAGGTGATGAAGGTGCTTTTACAAGCTCAGGTTATATAGTTACATCACATACATACATTGTATAATTGATACATTACATGGTTAATCTTGGGTACAAGTCCAATATACCATCAAGTGTTCTAGTACTCATATAGTAATTACACAGTTCAGCATACCTTAGCCCAGGAGGGCGAAAGTCAGTCAATATGGGACATTCTACAATATAATGTTCAAGAGAGTGCATGTTTTCTCTTTCACAAAGTTGACACATTGTGTACTCCACATTTGGGTTTTGAGAAAGCTGCCAGATACGTCTATATCCCAGGCGTATTCTGGCCACTATAACATCACATTGCCGGGTTCTTGTTCTATTAGTCCCATATGTGAATGCCTCCTCACGATATCTATCATAATATTTAATGCTACAACTTTCAGGTCTTTGTGAATTTGTTAGGTCGGCGAGATCTTCATTGATATTTGTTTAAGTATTCTCTTTGTCACTGCTAATTAAAATTATTAAAATTATTAAAAATATTAAAAAATATTAGCATATTGTGCATTGTGCCAATTCAGACTTTGAGGGGGAAGGCAGTCTTAAGGGAGACGAATTCAGACTTCAGGGGGACCAAGTCAGTCTTAAGGGGGATCAAGTCAGTCTTAAGGGGGATCAAGTCAGTCTTAAGGGGGACCAAGTCAGTCTTAAGGGGGGACCAAGTCAGTCTTAAGGGGGACCAAGTCAGTCTTAAGGGGGATCAAGTCAGTCTTAAGGGGGACCAAGTCAGTCTTAAGGGGGACCAAGTCAGTCTTAAGGGGGACCAAGTCAGTCTTAAGGGGGACCAAGTCAGTCTTAAGGGGGACCAAGTCAGTCTTAAGGGGGACCAAGTCAGTCTTAAGGGGACCAAGTCAGTCTTACGGGGGACCAAGTCAGTCTTAAGGGGACCAAGTCAGTCTTAAGGGGGACCAAGTCAGTCTTAAGGGGACCAAGTCAGTCTTAAGGGGGATCAAGTCAGTGTTAAGGGAGGGAACAAGTCAGTCTTAAGGGGGACCAAGTCAGTCTTAAGGGGACCAAGTCAGTCTTACGGGGGACCAAGTCAGTCTTAAGGGGACCAAGTCAGTCTTACGGGGGATCAAGTCAGTCTTAAGGGGACCAAGTCAGTCTTAAGGGAGGGAACAAGTCAGTCTTAAGGGAGGGAACAAGTCAGTCTTAAGGGGGACCAAGTCAGTCTTAAGGGGAAACAAGTCAGTCTTTAGGGGGACCAAGTCAGTCTTAAGGGGGACCAAGTCAGTCTTAAGGGGGACCAAGTCAGTCTTAAGGGGGACCAAGTCAGTCTTAAGAAGTACCAAGTCAGTCTTAAGGGGGAACCAAGTCAGTCTTAAGGGGGAACAAGCCAGTCTTAAGGGGGAACAACTAAGACTTGAGACGGTTGGGCTACCAATTTCGTGAAGCACGACCAATAATCTCCGACTTTCTCTATAATTTAAATTTTTTGTAAATGTGTGTGTATGTGTATGTATGTGTATGTGTGTGTGTGTGTGTGTGTGTGTGTGTGTGTGTGTGTGTGTGTGTGTGTGTGTGTGTGTGTGTGTGTGTGTGTGTGTGTGTGTGTGTGTGTGTGTGTGTGTGTGTGTACTCACCTATATGTACTCACCTATATGTGCTTGCAGGATCGAGCATTGACTCTTGGATCCCGCCTTTCTAGCTATCGGTTGTTTACAGCAATGACTCCTGTCCCATTTCCCTATCATACCTAGTTTTAAAAGTATGAATAGTATTTGCTTCCACAACCTGTTCCCCAAGTGCATTTCATTTTTCTACTACTCTCACGCTAAAAGAAAACTTCCGAACATCTCTGTGACTCATCTGAGTTTCCAGTTTCCACCCATGTCCCCTCGTTCTGTTATTATTACGTGTGAACATTTCATCTATTTCCACTTTGTCAATTCCCCTGAGTATTTTATATGTCCCTATCATATCTCCTCTCTCCCTTCTTTTCTCTAGTGTCGTAAGGTTCAGTTCCTTCAGCCGCTCTTCATATCCCATCCCTCGTAGCTCTGGGACAAGCCTCGTCGAAAACCTCTGAACCTTCTCCAGTTTCTTTATGTGTTTCTTCAGGTGGGGGCTCCATGATGGCGCGGCATACTCTAAGACGGGTCTCACGTAGGCAGTGTAAAGCGCCCTAAAAGCTTCCTCATTTAGGTTTCTGAATGAAGTTCTAATTTTCGCCAGTGTAGAGTACGCTGCTGTCGTTATCCTATTTATATGTGCCTCAGGAGTTAGATTAGGTGTCACATCCACTCCCAGGTCTCTTTCTCGAATCGTTACAGGTAGGCTGTTCCCCTTCATTGTGTACTGTCCCTTTGGTCTCCTGTCACCTGATCCCATTTCCATAACTTTACATTTACTGGTGTTAAACTCCAGTAGCCATTTCCATGACCATCTCTGCAGCCTGTTTAAGTCCTCTTGGAGGATCCTACAATCCTCGTCTGTCACAACTCTTCTCATTAATTTTGCGTCATCTGCAAACATTGACATGTATGATTCCACTCCTGTAAACATATCATTTACGTAAATTAGAAAGAGGATTGGTCCCAGCACCGATCCTTGAGGTACTCCACTTGTTACTGTTCGCCAGTCCGACTTTTCGCCCCTTACCTATTACCTGTGTGTGTGTGTGTGTGTGTGTGTGTGTGTGTGTGTGTGTGTGTGTGTGTGTGTGTGTGTGTGTGTGTGTGTGTGCTAGAGCGCGCGCGGGCGAGCGCGTGTGTGTGGACGCACTAATGAGAACTTGATGGCGCGCAGAGAAGGACCCAGAAAATACCATAACATAAAAGTCTTAACGAAGATTGGAGTTTGCTGACGAGGGGTTGAACTAGGCTTAAACAAGGCCCTGACTAACCCTGAAGATAGTGGCCCCTGACGAGCCCTGACGATGGTGGCCCCTGACGAGCCCTGACGATGGTGGCCCCTGACGAGCCCTGACGATGGTGGCCCCTGACGAGCCCTGACGATGGTGGCCCCTGACGAGCCCTGACGATGGTGGCCCCTGACGATGGTGGCCCTGACGAGCCCTGAAGATAGTGGCCCCTAACGAGCCCTGACGATGGTGGCCCTGACGAGCCCTGAAGATAGTGGCCCCTGACGAGCCCTGACGATGGTGGCCCTGACGAGCCCTGACGATGGTGGCCCCTGACGAGCCCTGACGATGGTGGCCCTAACGATGGTGGCCCTGACGAGCCCTGAAGATAGTGGCCCCTAACGAGCCCTGACGATGGTGGCCCTGACGAGCCCTGAAGATAGTGGCCCCTGACGAGCCCTGACGAGCCCTGACGATGGTGGCCCTGACGATGGTGGCCCTGACGAGCCCTGACGATGGTGGCCCTGACGAGCCCTGACGATGGTGGCCCTGACGAGCCCTGACGATGGTGGCCCTGACGAGCCCTGACGATGGTGGCCCTGACGAGCCCTGACGGGCCACAGACAATCATGGCCCTGAGCACAGCCACAAGAACTAAACCACAACACTCGTCCAAGGGTTAGTTCGTGAGCCGTCAGGTGCCTGTGTGACCACAGTGACTCTCAGTAGCAGTGTGAGGGAGGCTGGAGGACCAGTGAGGGAGCCCAGGTGTCCTCGCGGCGTGACCGCCCCGTCTGGCCTCCACAGGGTGACTGTGGCGTGACGAGTCCTTAAGTTAGAAGGTAGACAGATGGCCCCCGGTGTGAAGGTCCATGATGCGGGAGACAACGGTGGCTTTGTGGGTGTATTGGGGGGGGGAGGGGGGGAGGGGGGAGAGGGAGGGAGGGAGGGAGGGAGAGAGAGAGAGAGAGAGAGAGAGAGAGAGAGAGAGAGAGAGAGAGAGAGAGAGAGAGAGAGAGAGAGAGAGAGAGAGAGAGAGAGAGAGAGAGAGAGAGAGAGAGAGAGAGCAGTTGATTGAGCAAATTGATTGGGGGGGTTCAGCAGAGCTCAATTTGGAGCAGAGCACTTGCAGAGCTCAATTTGAGCAGAGCACTTGCGGGGGTTGAGCAGAGCTCAACCCCGCAAGTGGTGCTTGCGGGGGTTGAGCTCTGCTCTTTCGGCCCGCCATTACTCACCTAATTGTGTGAGTGTGTGTGTGTGTGTGTGTATTCACCTAGTTGTGTTTGCGGGGGTTGAGCTTTGCTCTTTCGGCCCGCCTCTCAATTGTCAATCAACTGTTTACTAACTACTACTTTTTTTCTTTCTTTCTTTCTTCACACCACACACTCACCTCAGGAAGTAGCAAGTAACAGTTGACTAACTCCCAGGTACCTATTTACTGCTAGGTAACAAGGGCATTCAGGATGAAAGAAACCAATAAACTCGCCCCTCGGGGCAAAATTTAAAAAAAAAATAAAACTTTGCCCATTTGTTTCTGCCTAGTGCGGGAATCGAACCCGCGCCACAGAATTACGAGTCCTGCTCGCTATCCACCAGGCCCCTAACCAGGCCCCCCTGTGTGTGTGTGTGTGTGTGTGTGTGTGTGTGTGTGTGTGTGTGTGTGTGTGTGTGTGTGTGTGTGTGTGTGTGTGTGTGTGTGTGTGTGTGGTGTGCCGTACGCTTCCTTAGAAACAAAAACATCGCCAGACAAGCAAAAAGCTCAACTCTATCATTTACTCCATAACTCTCATCCTTGAAAGTTCTCTAATTCCACTTTACTTCACCCACAATCCCCCTGTTCCCACCACCCACAACCACCCCTCCCCCCACCACCCACAACCTCTCCCCCACCACCCACAACCACCCCTACCCCACCACCCACAACCTCCCACCACCCACAACCACCCCTCCCCCCACCACCCACAACCTCTCCCCCACCACCCACAACCACCCCTCCCCCCACCACCCACAACCCCCCCCAGCCCCCACCACCCACAACCACCCCCCTCCCCCCACCACCCACAACCCCTTCCCCCACCACCCACAACCACAGGATCTTGTCTTCATTCTCGATCCTTTTTATCTTCCCTTATTCCATCTATTCCTTCATCTACCAGTTCACCCCCTGATTCACCTCCTCTCCCCCTGACTCACCTTGTCTCCCCCTGATCCATCTCCTCTCCCCTTCTCTGTGATCCACCTTCCTCCCCGCCACCATTCTCGTGTCAGCCCTAAAGGCACCGTCAACAACTCTGGAGTTCGGGGTAAATAAAGGCACAATCCGCATATGGAGAAGGAGAGAAAGCGCTTCGTTCCCCTAATCCGGATTTCAGGTGTTGTCGTTCGTGACCCGGCATCCTCCTCCTGCTGGATAGTCTCCAAGTTTGGCTTCTTTCACAATTTTTGTTCTAACCCATTTTTTGTTTTGTTTTAAATTTTTGTCCTGTTTCCCATGTTTTGCTGTTCCTATTTTTGTCCCGATTTTCATGTTTTGCTGTTGCCATTTTTTGTTTTTGTCCTGTCTCCCATTTTTTGTTTTTGTCCTGTCTCCCATTTTTTGTTTTTGTCCTGTCTCCCATTTTTTGTTTTTGTCCTGTCTCCCATTTTTTGTTTCCAATTTTTAAATTACCCACTTTTGTTCTTCGCATTTTTGTTTTCTTAATTCTTTTGTGTCTCATTTTTTTTTCATTTCTTGTTCTATATTTTTGGTTCATATTCTATTCTCATTTTTGTTGTGCCTAATTTTTTCCCACATTTCAGTTATTTCCCTTGTTTATACAATTTACCATTTTTTGATCAATTAATAATTATTTCCAGTTTCACATGATTGACTGTTTCCCATTATTCCTGTTACTTGGACTGGGTCATTCCTGATCACATGAAGAAATGAGCCAAACTGTGTAAGACATAACTCTTATGTCTTATGTCTAATTATGTCTTAAGTCTGGGTTATTAAATCACTATTAAGTCAAAAGTGTTTAAGGCACAGGATTGTTTCTTATTAATCCAGCAGACGGGACGTGTTGATGAGCAGGGTGTACTGTGTCTGGGTGTACTGTGTCAGGGTGTACTGTGTCTGGGTGTACTGTGTCTGGGTGTACTGTGTCTGGGTGTACTGTGTCTGGGTGTACTGTGTCTGGGTGTACTGTGTCTGGGTGTACTGTGTCTGGGTGTACTGTGTCTGGGTGTACTGTGTCTGGGTGTACTGTGTCTGGGTGTACTGTGTCTGGGTGTACTGTGTCTGGGTGTACTGGGTGTACTGTGTCTGGGTGTACTGTGTCTGGGTGTACTGTGTCTGGGTGTACTGTGTCTGGGTGTACTGTGTCAGGGTGTACTGTGTTAGGGTGTACTGTGTCTGGGTGTACTGTGTCAGGGTGTACTGTGTCAGGGTGTACTGTGTCTGGGTGTACTGTGTCTGGGTGTACTGTGTCTGGGTGTACTGTGTCTGGGTGTACTGTGTCTGGGTGTACTGTGTCTGGGTGTACTGTGTTAGGGTGTACTGTGTCTGGGTGTACTGTGTCAGGGTGTACTGTGTCTGGGTGTACTGTTTCAGGGTGTACTGTGTCTGGGTGTACTGTGTCTGGGTGTACTGTGTTAGGGTGTGTACTGTGTCTGGGTGTACTGTGTCTGTGTCTGGGTGTACTGTGTCTGGGTGTACTGTGTCTGGGTGTACTGTGTTAGGGTGTGTACTGTGTCTGGGTGTACTGTGTCTGGGTGTACTGTGTCTGGGTGTACTGTGTCTGGGTGTACTGTGTCTGGGTGTACTGTGTCTGGGTGTACTGTGTCTGGGTGTACTGTGTCTGGGTGTACTGTGTCTGGGTGTACTGTGTCAGGGTGTACTGTGTCTGGGTGTACTGTGTCTGGGTGTACTGTGTCTGGGTGTACTGTGTCTGGGTGTACTGTGTCTGGGTGTACTGTGTCTGGGTGTCTGTGTCAGGGTGTACTGTGTCTGGGTGTGTCTGGGTGTACTGTGTCTGGGTGTACTGTGTCTGGGTGTACTGTGTCTGGGTGTACTGTGTCTGGGTGTACTGTGTCTGGGTGTACTGTGTCTGGGTGTACTGTGTCTGGGTGTACTGTGTCAGGGTGTACTGTGTCTGGGTGTACTGTGTCTGGGTGTGTACTGTGTCTGGGTGTACTGTGTCTGGGTGTACTGTGTCTGGGTGTACTGTGTCTGGGTGTACTGTGTCTGGGTGTACTGTGTCTGGGTGTACTGTGTCTGGGTGTACTGTGTCAGGGTGTACTGTGTCTGGGTGTACTGTGTCTGGGTGTACTGTGTCTGGGTGTACTGTGTCTGGGTGTACTGTGTCTGGGTGTACTGTGTCAGGGTGTACTGTGTCTGGGTGTACTGTGTCTGGGTGTACTGTGTCTGGGTGTACTGTGTCTGGGTGTACTGTGTCTGGGTGTACTGTGTCTGGGTGTACTGTGTCTGGGTGTACTGTGTCTGGGTGTACTGTGTCTGGGTGTACTGTGTCTGGGTGTACTGTGTCAGGGTGTACTGTGTCTGGGTGTACTGTGTCTGGGTGTACTGTGTCTGGGTGTACTGTGTCAGGGTGTACTGTGTCTGGGTGTACTGTGTCAGGGTGTACTGTGTCTGGGTGTACTGTGTCTGGGTGTACTGTGTCTGGGTGTACTGTGTCAGGGTGTACTGTGTCTGGGTGTGTACTGTGTCAGGGTGTGTACTGTGTCAGGGTGTACTGTGTCAGGGTGTACTGTGTCAGGGTGTACTGTGTCAGGGTGTACTGTGTCAGGGTGTACTGTGTCAGGGTGTACTGTGTCTGGGTGTACTGTGTCTGGGTGTACTGTGTCTGGGTGTGTACTGTGTCAGGGTGTACTGTGTCTGGGTGAACTGTGTCTGGGTGTACTGTGTCAGGGTGTACTGTGTCTGGGTGTGTACTGTATCAGGGTGTGTACTGTGTCAGGGTGTACTGTGTCAGGGTGTACTGTGTCAGGGTGTACTGTGTCTGGGTGTACTGTGTCTGGGTGTACTGTGTCAGGGTGTACTGTGTCTGGGTGTACTATGTCAGGGTGTACTGTGTCTGGGTGTGTACTGTATCAGGGTGTGTACTGTGTCAGGGTGTACTGTGTCAGGGTGTACTGTGTCAGGGTGTTCTGTGTCAGGGTGTACTGTGTCTGGGTGTGTACTGTATCAGGGTGTGTACTGTGTCAGGGTGTACTGTGTCAGGGTGTACTGTGTCAGGGTGTTCTGTGTCAGGGTGTACTGTGTCTGGGTGTACTGTGTCTGGGTGTACTGTGTCTGGGTGTACTGTGTCAGGGTGTACTGTGTCTGGGTGTACTGTGTCTGGGTGTACTGTGTCTGGGTGTACTGTGTCAGGGTGTACTGTGTCTGGGTGTGTACTGTATCAGGGTGTGTACTGTGTCAGGGTGTACTGTGTCAGGGTGTACTGTGTCAGGGTGTACTGTGTCTGGATGTACTGTGTCAGGGTGTACTGTGTCAGGGTGTACTGTGTCTGGGTGTACTGTGTCTGGGTGTACTGTGTCTGGGTGTACTGTGTCAGGGTGTACTGTGTCTGGGTGTACTGTGTCTGGGTGTACTGTGTCTGGGTGTACTGTGTCAGGGTGTACTGTGTCTGG